GAAATGAGTGGGCTGAGAACCTGTTCTTCATGACACCAGGTCACTCGGCACCCGGGGAGAGATTCCCGTGGGAGCCAGAGCTGGGCTGTGGCCCACGCTGCTGCCAGTGGTCACTATGCCGCTAATTAAAACAGTGTCTCAGTGCTGGATTTGATCTCCCGCACCAGACCTGTCTGTCATGCTAACCATGGAAGTACACAAGCTTGGGAATCCTAGGGTAGCAATGTTCAGAAGTAGCCTTCAGTTCAGAGGTCAGTCCACAGGCTAGGGCTCCTGCATCAAAAAGATGGAACTGATGGAACCGTTTATCTGACTTGCAGGCAGCCGTGGGAATGGGAGGGAAGCCCTGATCCCACCGTGAACGCTCCCTGGCACTCCCAGCACAACCAGGGCACGTGAGATTGGCAGAGTGTGGTGTGGAGGGCGCCGTGGGCTGGCGAAGGTGCAGGAAGAGGCTGTGAGGGGCTGCCGGTCACCTGTGGGCGGGAAGGGTTGAGGAGCACGGACCGTTACATGGACAAGGTGTTGCATTGCATCCAGTCTCTCAGCTTGTTGGGACGATGGTGCAGGTGCTTGCCCTCTTCCAGTTTCCAGAGTTAACGTTCGTTTGTAGGGGCTGCTGTTGTGGTGTGGCAGGTTAAGCCGCCTCTTGTTACACTGGCTTCCCATGTCAGGGCACCAGTTCCAGGCTGCTCCACTTCCCAGCCAGCTCCCTGCTAATGGCCTGGGAAGGCAGTGGAATTTGACCCACGTGCTTGGGCCCCTGCACCCTGGTGGGAGAACCAGATGTTGTTCTTGGCTCCTGGCTTTGGCCTGGCCCAGCCCTGGCTATTGTGGCCATCTGAGGAGTGAGCCAGTGGATGGAAGAATCTGTGTCTCTCCTTCTCTCTCTGTTGTTCTTTCAAATAAATCAACCTTAAAAGACACATTAGGATGTAAAATTTTCATTTTAAAAAGTGTTGGTGTACAAACATGGATCCCTTTCTTATAGCGGTCTCCTTTGAAGCTGGACGGTGTCGTAAGAGGAGGCTGGTTTTTATGAAGTCGGGTAAATGTGTTGGGAGGCGGCCCACTCAGAGCACAGGTGCCGGGAGCAGTCATCCTCTGCAGACGCTGGATAGGAAGGCACCGACACTGGCCCCGGTGCCCACGGCCAGGACCAGCCGTTTGGAGACAGTTGGCTGTGTGGCAGAGGGCCTGGAGTCAGCTCCAGGGGCCTCACTCTGCTTCCCTCGGAGCCACTCCCCTGCGGTGACAAGTGCCAGGCAGTGCTGGCTTCCTGCTGCCCACGGCTCCACAGCTGAAACCTGGGCTCCCCGCTGCCGCCCTGCCCTGTTCTCCACATCCTGGCTGTTTTATTTTATATTAAAAGCTTTACTTATTTGAAAACCAGAATTGCAGAGAGAGGGAGAGGGAGAGGGAGAGGGAGAGGGAGAGGGAGAGGGAGAGGGAGAGATCTTCTAACCACTGGTCCACTGCCCAGATGGCCACAACAGCCAGGACTGGGCCAACCTGAAGTCAGAATCTAGGAGCTTCATCCATGTCTCCCTCATGGTTATAGCAGCCCAAACACTTGGGCCATTTCCCACTGCTCTTCCCAGCCCATAGCAGGGAGCTGGATGAGAAGTGGAGAAGCTGGGACTGGAACTGGCGCCCACATGGGATGCTGGCACCGAGGGCAGCGGTTCTACCTGCTGTGCCACAGCGCCGGCCCCATGTCTGTCTGTTTTGACAACTTTCCAGTGTTAGATCCCGAGGAACAAAGGTGGTTTCAACTCTGTGCTTTCATACGCGTTTGCCCACACCACGGGAACCTTAGATAGCTTCCAGTCATTCAGAAGTTCAGATTCACCCCCTCCAGCCTGGGGATTGCACACATCCTGTGGTGTAAGATTTCTTATACCAACGCTAGCAGGCTTCAGAGAACCTTCATGATGCTTTCACGCCAGGCTGGGCGGGGAGGAGTCTTTTTCTTCATAAGCCAGGCTTCCCGATAGTGGCATTCATGCAGCGCTCACGTGGGAGTGATCAGTGGTCAGTGCCACATTCATGAAGGCCCTGCCACAGCCTTTGGGTTCTCTTGAGGAAACAGCCCAACTCGGCCTTGCTGGTTTATTTTTTTTATTATTTTTATTTTTTTGACAAGCAGAGTTAGAGAGAGAGAGAGAGAGAGGTCTTCCTTCTGTTGGTTCACCCCCTAAATGGCCTCTACAGCCAGCGCACTGCGCCGATCCAAGCCAGGAGCCAGGTGCTTCCTCCTGGTCTCCCATGCGGGTGCAGGGCCCAAGCACTTGGGCCATCCTCCACTGCCTTCCCGGACCACAGCAGAGAGCTGCACTGGAAGAGGGGCAACTGGGACAGAATCCGGGGTGCTGGCGCCGCAGGTGGAGGACTAGCCAAGTGAGCCGCAGCGTCAGCCCTTGCTGGGTTTTTAATCGTCATACAGACACTGTTCACCTCCCTGAGTGTCTTTGAGGTTGGACGTGAAGCCTCATGTAGCCTTCGCAGCCCCGGAGCTCGACTGAGAGCCCATCCTCCTCCTGGGTTCTGTGCCCCTGCCCCGCGGCCCGAGGCTCAGCTGGAAGCCGGGCAGTGGGGAACAGGATTTGAGTCGTGAGACAGTGTCAGAGGTGCCCCAGCAGTCGCGACTAATCGGGTAAGGACAATGTTAGGACCCAAGGGGTGAGCTGTGTTTGAACAACGCCGGCCACGGGCCCAGGATACACTCTGCTGCGTGGTGCCGGGGGCAGGTTCCGAGTGGCTTGCAGGCCTCCGAGCAGCTCCCATCACAGCAGCTGTGCAAACCCATGAGCAACATCACGTGGGAGCGGCACTAAGCGAAAACACCGTCGTGAAGCAAGCTTTCCAGCCCGGAGCGCAGCTACCGCGTGCGAAAACAAAGGGGATGGCGAGCAGAGCATGATGGATAATCTCGGCCATGCACGTAATTGCTTCCAGGTGCCGGGCCCCCTCGCTCCTCCTGGGGTGGTGCTCCCACCCGGACAATGTTTTCTTTCTCCTGCAACAGAGCCCCTCGCGAGGCTGGTGCCAGCGCTTGCCCCAGACAGCCACACTCGGCGGGGTGTAGGGAACCTGGGGACAGGTCTGCTGGGTGCTGGGAGCTGGCTTGCTCCGTCCCGGTGAGGTTGGCAGCCGCGAGCACTGTCGACAGTTTGCAAAGGCGTTTTTTTCTTTTTCTCTGCAGCACCTTCTTAGACTGAGCTCCTAGCTTTCTTTCTGTTTGACCGATGGGATTAGGGTTTACTGTCTTGGTTGTGATGCAGTGTCTTCTCGCCTGGATAGCAACAGCAGCAAGCAAGGGAGTGCAAGCAGCTGTCTTAAATACCTGCTTTTCAAGGCTACAGAAAATGTTCACTAACACTCAAAAATAATAGGTCACATTTCGTTTCTAAGCAGCTTGTCCTGAGAATCATCAGTGCAAATTCTTAATGTCCTTCAGAGTTCCTGACAGGCGGATTTATGGGTTGTCAATAACTCAGTATCTGGTTTTAAAAATTGCTATAAAGGGGCCGGCACTGTGGCACAGCGGGTTAAAGCCCTGGCCTGAAGCGCCGGCATCCCATATGGGCGCCGGTTTGAGACCTTGCTGCTCCACTTCTGATCCAGCTCTCTGCTTGGCCTGGGAAAGCTGTAGAAGATGGCCCAAGTCCTTGGGCCCCTGAACTCATGAAGGAGACCCGGAAGAAGCTCCTGGCTCCTGGCTTCGGATTGGCACAGCTCTGGCTATTGTGGCCATCTGGGGAATGAACCAGCGGATGGAAGACCTCTCTCTGTGTGTCTACCTCTCTCTGTAACTCTTTCAAATAAATAAAATAAAATCTTTAAAAAAATTTTAAAAATTGCTATAAAAGACCAAAACATTGTACCTGCAAATAAATACTATGGACATTTCCTTCCTGGTCACAGCTTCTCCTCTACAGGGTCTCTAACCCCAGTGGGGGTGGGGAGGGAATAAAGGCACGATTGAATTTGATGAAAATACTTCAGTATGTAGGGTAAATAAGTAGAGTAGCTCATCTAATCTATTTTACCTTTAGTGAAAGTATTTCACTGAAAAATAATCAAAGAAACATAAATATGTCAGTAGAATCACATATGTAATATTTTATACCCCTATAAGAATATTTTTATCTTATTCTAAACTCTTACAAAAAAGAACAGCAAACTATGGCAATAGTCTTCTATTTATTACAAATTTTTAAACTCTATTTTAGAAAATATCCATTTTTTTCATCTGAAATCAGAGTTATAGGGAGAGAGGGAGAGGCAGAGACAGAGATCTCTCATCTGCTGGTTCACTCCCCAGAGAGCTGCAATGACCAGGGCTGGATCAGGCTGAAGCCTGGAGTCAGGACTTTCTTCCAGGTCTCCCATGTGGGTAGCTGGGGCCCAAGCACTTGGGCCATCTTCTGTTGCTTTCCCCAGGCCATTATCAGGGAGCTGGGTCAGAAGTGGAGCAGCTGGGACACGATGTGGGGTGCCGGCGTCACAGGCAGCCACTTTGCCCACTAGGCCACAGTGCCTTTCCCATGCCCTATTATTTTAAACACATGGATCGTCGGAGTCGTCGGGAAAGCCCTTCCCTCCTCTTCACTGGTTGCACTGGGCCCAGGAAGGCGGCCCATTTCAGAGCACACCTGGTCAGACCCCTCAACGGGCAGCTGTCCCTGTGAGTGTGGGTCCCTCTTCTCTCTTCGGCCTTATTTCACACCTTTGCAGTTCAGGAACGTGTGTGCAGGTTGGATCTTACATGTAGAAATCCCAGTACTTGTTTAATCCGGTGGGTCTTTGACCCTTCAGGTCATGTTGGATACAGAGCTGACCCCAGGCAGGCACTGAGACATCCCTTTGTCGCTGGGTGAGGCCCAGGCGCACCTGCACACTGATGGAGGTGGGAGGTGGGCAGGGCCACAGAGGAAAGCAATAAATAAAATGGCTTGAGAATTGCCATGAATTCTAACAAGCTCATCTCTCCGCAGGTTAAGTTCACTTCCTCCACGAGAACGCAAATATATACAGAGAGAGGAATACATGGCTCTCCCACTTCTGAGAAAGACGCTAAGGGTAAGAGCTCACTGCTGAAGCGCCCAGCGACTTAGTGAGAGGTCTGACAGGACCTGCCTGGCACGGAGCACCGTGCACAGCCTTCGCACCTGCGGGTGCGTTGATGGTGTGCTCAGATTTATTTTGCATTCCCCGTGACTGAAGCTGGGTCTGGCCTCCAGGATGGTCTGGGAGACTCCGGCAGGGCTCTGCCCCTGCCACGGTGTTGTTCTGTGGCTTCTTTTATGAGCCTCACCCTCACTGGCCAGCCTGTCCCCGCTGGGAGGGTCTTTCTATCTCTGTGGGCAGACAGACGGCTGGGTCCACCTTCCTTGCAGCCCGGATTCTCTGGCGATTTCAGGCCAGATTCAGCCCTGTCCCCTCCCATGCAGCTCCCAGAACCAGCCTCTCAGTGGAGCCGGCCTCCCTGACAAGCTTTGGATTTGCAGAATAACCCAGCTCAGGGCCTTGCTCTGAGAATTACGTCTGTTCAAAGGGAACAGGGAGCCCTTCATAGCTCTGGAGGTAGATAGTCTAGGAAAGAGTCTTGTCTTGGCTGGCGCCAAGGCTCACTTGACTAATCCTCCGCCTGTGGTGCTGGCACCCTGGGTTCTAGTCCTGGTTGGGGTGCCGGATTCTGTCCTGGTTGCCCCTCTTCCAGTCCAGCTCTCTGCTGTGGTCCGGGAAGGCAGTGGAGGATGGCCCAAGTGCTTGGGCCCTGCACCCGCATGGGAGACCAAGAGGAAGTACCTGGCTCCTGGCTTCAGATCGGTGCTGCACATGCAGCGGCCATTTGGGGGGTGAACCAACGGAAGGAAGACCTTTCTCTCTGTCTCTCTCTCACACTGTCTAACTCTGCCTGTCCAAAAAAAAAAAAAAAAAAAAAAAAAGGAAAGAGTCTTGCCTTGTCCGGGGCCTGGGAGATTTACAGCAGAGGAACCCGGCAAAGGTGTGGAAGCTTCTAGAATAACATCACCTGGAAACAGGTGGGGAAAGAGAAAGCTTTAATGTCCTGATTGGGGGAGGGCAGTGAGGCTCTGTGGGTCTGTGAGTGGGCTTTACTGGTGACCTGGGCCTGGGGGTTGGTGATGACAGGTGCGTCAGGAATGACGATGTCAAGAGTGGCAGAGGCCAGGATAATGACAGTGTGTCTTCTGAGACAGATCACAAACCCCGCCCCCCCCAGCCCAGGTTAATGGTTTGCCAAGAAAGCAGCCATTCAGGCTGGAGTCCCCCAAGGCTTCATACCTGTGGGCTGTGACAAGACAGACAGGGGTGGCCATGGCCACACAGCGTGCACCTGCTGGCTGCCGGCTGCACCTCCTAGGCAGGTCGTGTTCTGTGTGCCATTCTCCACTTCTGATGCTTGGATCTCGCATGTCGTCTGTCTCCGAAGCCCACCCTCAGCTCCACCTGCCCAGTTCCCACCACTCCGAGTGGCTTGGCTCAGCGTCACTGCTGGATGTCGCCTGGGTTAACCTTGTGCCACAACAGGGCCCTTTCTCTCACCTTCTCTTGCAGTCGCTTGTGTACTTGCCCTGATTCTGTTGGGTTGGAGATCCATGAGCCCAGGAGACACTGGTGTGCCAGGCTGCGTGTCATCTGCCATGGTGTCTGCTCTCCTCCATGCTGGTAACATCTCTCTAACCTGGGCCTTATGGGCCTTGTTTTTGATATGAAGACTCTGCGGGGCCCTGCCCAGTCCCAGGGTTGGTGAGTGGAGATGTAACCCAGGCTCTGAAATGTTTAAAGACCGCCCAAACGAAAGAACGACTTTCATAGTAGACGTTATGGCTCATTGATTCTCTGTTTTAATCTCGTGGGGTCCAGAGATAGAGTAAAATGACGGGGAGAAGTAACTTACTTGGCCAAAAGTTTTAAATTTATCACTTAGCTATTTATATATGTATATATTTAATTGAGAGGGAGAAAGAGAGAGAGAGAGAGTGAGCACTGCCAATTGTTGGCCACTCCCCAAATGCCTGCAGTAGATGGGGCAGCCCACAGCTAGGAGCCAGGAGCTCGGTCTGCATCTCCCACAGGCAGGGCAGGGACCCAAGTCCTTGAGCCACTACTGCTGCCTCCCAGGCATCAAGAGCAGGGCCAGGACTTGAGCCCAGGCACTCTGATATGGGCTGCAGCTTCTAGACAGCCAGGGCCAAATGCCACCCCTGCGACCTCTTATTTGTGATTTGTGCAGCATTGAGGATTATCCTGAGACATGGGGGAGGGACTTGGGGCTGATGATGGACAGTAACTCTTACGTAGGAACTAAGGTGGACAGGAGTCTTCCCTTCCGTCAGCTCCCACTGTTGCCCCGCTAGCTCTGGAATGAGAAAACATGTGCTGAGCCTTAGATGGTGGGGGACGGCTCCTGGGATAACAGGATGAGCACCCTGGGAAGTCGCGTCATTATTTTCAGGTTGCAACCAGAAACCACTTAGTAAATTACTGTTTTTATTTTTTCTCTCAGATCTTCAGCAGGCCCCCAGATAGCCAGAGAGAATGAATACAACTTCCAAACACGCTTTACTAGTCCTTGGGACTGACAGTCTCTCAGGAGACGCTCTTTCCCTATTCAGTTACAGACACAAGACTCCAATGGCTGTGGCAAAGAGTGTGTGAAGAGGTAGCGTCGTAGCATTGTTGGCTGGGTCCTGATCCGGACTCCACTTCCACCTGGAGCCTGGAGCAGTAGCTCTGATACTGCTGCCTTTGCATTCCATTTAGGCTTGCAAGCCTGTGCAGAAGTCCATTTCCTCGAAAGGGACAAGGAGGCCCGCTTTCGTCTCTCACAGAGTGCTCTGCACAGGAAACAGGAAGGTGACAGGGTTAGGGCTTGAGGCAGGTCCCCGTGTGCACGGCACCCAGATGCAATTGCTCCTGAGGCGCCAAAGATGGCTTACTCAAAGAGGCACGGGCGTCCTGTTGGTCCCGGGGAGCCAGGACTCTGGCAGTCTTGTGCATTCCTGCGGGATGTGTCTGCTTGTCCTGCTGGGAGATGGGAAAGCGCACGGTGACAGTGACGGGGGAGGGGTCGCCTCCTGGTCACCTGGCAGCATTGCTGCCAGCAGGTCCCTGAGTGAACTTGAGGAGCCGAGCAGTGTTTCGGGACAGAGGCACAGGGGATGACAAAGACGAGCAGTCCCAAACCAGAGACGTGGTTCCCCTGGCTCAGGGCTGAGGGCGGCAGCGGGGCCTGGCGCGGGGCGATGCATCTTCGGGGAATGCCGCCACGGTGCGCCCACAGCCGGCAGCACCTCTTGGCTGACTGTTGCTCAGATGGAGTTGCTTGAGTCAGGGCAGGTGTCCCAGGTCCCTGGCCTGATGTGTGCATTACTGCCTCCCAGAGTCTCCGGATCATGGGGTGGTCAGCCTGTGTGTTACTTAAACACAAAACAACCAAGCTGCCAGAGGGTGAGCGCTGTGCCAAATGTGGACTCACAGCCTAAGCCCCCAGGGACGAGGCCAGCCCGCACTGTCACCAGGGTGGCAAGGAGCAGCGTGGAGGAGACAGAAAATGGGGCAGCCTGGGTCAGAGCTGGCAGAGGAGAGCGGCCACAGGGACGCGTTCCTCAGTGGTCGTGGTGGAGAGGCCGGCAAGTGCCTTAAAACATTTCACTAAAAATACTGACGTATTTTGAAAGCGCAGAGAGGAGAGATCTTCCATCTGCTGATTCACTCCCCAGACGGCAGCAAGAGCCAGGAGCTCTCATGAGTCTCCACGGGGTTGCAGGGCCCCAGCATGGGCGTCTCCCTGTTTTCCCAGTCCTTTAGCAGGGAGCAGCCAGGACTCCAACGGGCGTCCCACCGCGGGCGCCCCAGACTGTGGCTTTACCTTCCATGCCACAGCGCCAACCCCCACGTATTTCATTGTTACGATGTTTCGTGCATGGAATATTTCATTTGGCTGCGGAAAGTAAACCCCATAAAAGCGCGTGATTTCTGGTGGGCGAAACTGCAAGTAGTGAGTGCGGCAGCCGGGGAGGCCCCGGGCTGAGCAGGGAGGACGCGGGGCCCAGGAGGCGCCCGGGTAGCGGGTAGCAGGAGGATCGCTGCGGGTGCGGACGCGCAAAGAGGCCGGTGTGGGAGAAGGCTGGGGCGCCCGGATTCTGAGGGCCTTGCAAGTCTTTTCCCAGGTTGTCTTCCGGCAGTGCGCTGGCTGCGTCTCCGGGCGCGCGGCGGGGCCGACCTGGGCGCACGCAGGTGTCCAGGAGTGCATGCCCCTTCTCCTCCTTGGGTCGTCCTGGCCTCCCCGGGCCTCTCGCCGCTGCGTTCCCACAGGAGCACCAGTCAGGTGTCCACACGTGGGTGCACACGCACCATCAGACACACGCCCGAGGCTGAAGTCAGATGCACCCCACCGCATGCTCGCTGGCTCTGCGGGCCTAGGCTGCGCGGGGCTTGGTGGCTCGGGCGCAGCGTCCCGCGTGCTCCCAGGCCTGCCCTAGGCCGTGCCCCGCAGCCCGGCCTGCGGGACCCCCGCCACGCTCACGCTTTCCACACCAGCTCGGAAAGGCTCTTCGGTTCGTGTTTCAGCGCCCGCGGACCTTCGCCGTTTGTTCCCCTACTTGGAGATGTTCTTGCCCGTTTGTTTAAACAAACAATGACTCTGGAACCGGGAAGAAAATTAGTAACAGGTGGAAGTTTATTTTTCATGATGTTGAGGTCAAGTTGCTGTTTAATTCACAGAGCAAACTCCCCCCACCCTCCCCGCGCCCCGTGTCTCTTTTAATGTTTCCCAGTTATTTGTAAAGGAAACGTACACAACCTCTGGACGTGCTCTGAGCATCCAAGTGACCTCTGCATTCTGCATTTCTAGTGGAATACAAGGGGCCTGGCTTCGTTCTGATTTTTCCTTTGTAATTTCTTGAAAGAAGTGTCTGGCACTATAAAAATGTACTTAGAACTGTCTTGGAGATGTTTTTGTTTTGTGCTTGTTTATGAATCAAAGCTCTGTGTTTGGAATGGTGTTGCTTTTACAATTCACACTGATGTTTGCTTTTGTTACGTATGTTTGAGATTATATATCTGTTTCTCCGTGTTCTATTCCTTGTGTTGGCGTGATTGTGTCTTTTTGGGGTCTTTTTGGAGCAGGAGGCGGGCTTTCATCTCGTGCACGGGAGGGTCCACAGGCACGGGCTCTCCGAGGGCAGGCCGCAGTGTCCGTGGTTTGTGGGCACTCTCCTAATGGGGTCCTGTCCCTGCGGGGGTCCTGCGAGGTTGTTGGTGCCCGTGGTGGGCTTCTGGGGGGGATCGTGGGTGCCGGTTGAGCTCACTGTGGTGTTTCGCTGAGAATCTTCCGGTCTGTGAGAACTGCGAACTCCAGATCCCAAGCGATCAGGGTAGGGTTTGAATACCAGGGAGTGACGGGGGGGGCGGGGGGGGAAGGGGGGGGATTGTGAGCAAAGGGAAGCAGGCGTTGCCGATGACGCTTCGTTTCCCTCTGCTCCAGAGATGTTCTGCCTTGTTTGCAGGCTTCTGCTTATAACCCCGTACACTGCCTGTGAATGCCTCAAAGCTACACACAGGGGTGGACTCAGCCTTCCCCCAGCAATGAAGCGCTGGTGATGCCGCAGCTGAAACCCTGAGCCATTTCAGCTCACAAGGGAGAAATGACTTCGTGCCTGCCAGCACCAGCTCAGGTGTGGGGTGGGAGTGAGACTGCACACACAGACATCGACTCTAGACCTGCAGCCCTGCATTCTGTGTGCCCAGGTGTGGGAAGGGAAAGGGCAGAGCTGCTGGGGGAAGCACGCGGCTGTCCCTGCTAGGTAAAGGATTGCTTTAGGACCTGGACTTGAGAACCAAGAGCATATTACAAGCCCCGGCGTGGCCAGAGTGCTTGCGGGAGCTGGACCAGTTCGTGAAGTTGACCTTCGCAGGTAGCTGGTCAGGTGAGGTGAAGTGTTAGCTCGGGGCTGCACCCTGTGCTGATGCGCCCACATTCCCAGCGTAGCGCGGGCGTCCGATGCGGGAAGGGCAGCTTGGAGACCCCGTAGGGGGCTCGGCCTTCATGATTTTGCGGGGCCGCTACTGTAGAGTCACCAGCCCGCGTGAGAGCCAGGCACGGGCAGGGGGTTCTGGGCGGCTTCCCCTCGTTCTCCTTGCACGCCAGTCCCGAAGCTCTGGCTTTTGACAAGGACCCCAGTCCTGTGGCACACGCCCACACGCTCGTGATCTCAATCTCGGTGCGGTGTGGTAGCCTCCGGGCGGCCTGGGGTTAGGACTTGCACAGACACCAGTTGAACCCCAGCATGAGGCCGGCCCCACAGCCACTCAGACCCCACAGTGCACCGGAAGACCCCTGTGGCACACGCTCCTGCCTCTGCGGTCCGTGCCTCCTTCCCATTGCATGGAAGTGTGTCCACCTTCTCCAGCCTGTCTCTCTGTCTCTCTCATTCCCTCTGAGCCTGTGTGAGACAGTGCTGCCGTCCCTGAGTCAACCCGGCGCACAGGGCTCACGGTGGTCGCCCATGCAGGGCTGGGGACCCGAGGGTGCACTTGCCACAGACAGGATGGGCCCTGCACACAACACGCAGGCAAAATGTGATCCCAGCGCCCTGGAGTCAGGTGACTTACACGGCATCCAAGAAGCCTAACAATGATAGTAAACAAAAACCGGGGTGAATTGTGGACACATGTGCAGCGCATGGCAGGTCGGGGGGCTGGTCTCGCCCCGTGACCATGCTTCCTTTGCACACAGCACGTCTTCAAGCTGCGCGCAGGGCTGCACTCTGGTCCCTGGCTGCACACAGTGCGCTTAGCCGCGGTGAGTCGGTAGGCCTTTGACCCAAGGAGGATTAAGGGACTCAGCTCACATGTCGCCATTCGATTCCGTTCTGTTGCAGAAAGTCATTTCCTTCAGAAAGAAGTAAATGACCTGGTCTTCCTCCAGGGAAGAGTTAAGGTAAGTGCAGTTGTCACATAAACGTCAAACGGCTCAAGGTAATGTGACATATTTTTAGAATCCGGCAGTTGCAGATGGAGATGAAGCTTAATAGTGGTAATACTGCAGGCAGGCACTGAGGTTTTATTACAAGTTTATTGCGACCATAAATATGGAATTTACATGCAGTATATATGTATTCCAATATTATATTTTGTTAAGTTAGTTCAGCATTTAGTCATTAACTTGGTGGTGGCAAGCTAATGACACACACATATTCCCTTTGCATTGCCTCCTCAACTTCGGAGACCCACAAGTGAATTAAGACCAGATCTTTATCCTCACGGTATCTTCCAAAGCTGAGTTTATGCATGTTCTTACTGTTTCAGTCACTTAGGAGGGTCTTGGCTAAAACACCTGTGGAAAGTTAAATCAGTTTTGTAGTCTGAGGCCTGTGGGGATGAGTCTCTAAGTGAAGTTGAAGGTTTGACATGCAAATTAAACCAAAGATGACTTAATGACCCACATAATGATCTACAAGGAAATCTGATGAGTTCTTTGTCTAATTTCAATGCGGAGAGTCCCGGGACAGTCAATCACATCCATTCACCAGGAAGCCACACACTGTCTGCGGTGAACCTGCGCTTTCCTAAGCACGCCTGAGCTCATCTCATGCCCGGAGCTGGGCAAGGTCACCAGCCAGTGTCCTGGGAGAGGGGTCTCGGGCCCTGGCTTCCCTCGCACCTGCCTTCCCCAGCCTTGTTTCTGGGCCTCGCATCCCTCACAGCCCACTTCTCCCACACCTGATAGGTGAGCGTTCACATCCAATTGTGCACGTGCACGCACACACACACACATTCGCACACAGACAAGCTCCTGAGCTCTATGGAGTAGAGTTGCACCAGTTTTCCTGGGTTCCTATTTCCAAAGTCAAGTCAGCCAGGTCAGGATGGAGTGTTTACCCTTGCCTTGGGCCACCCCAGGGATTCCCAAGAGTCAGCCTCTGAGGGAGAAGTCTTTTTCCATTGACTGTGACTGCTGACCCCGCTGACTCTTAGGGACAATCCTATTTATGTGAAGCTCCCTTGAGTGTAAGGTCATCCTGTGGGCTTTTAGGAAAGGTGAAACACGCTTCAAGTAATTCAATATGCAGTATTCATAAAAACACATAGGAGGGTACTTCAAAAACTTCATGGAAATGGAATTTAAAGATCAATTTATTCTGGCACAAAAATTTTCAAGTCCATTCATAGAGGGCTCTTCAGAAGTTCATGGAAAATATGTATTATGGAAAAACTGCATGGATGTCAAAGTTTCTTGCACAAAAATAAATCCTTTGATTCTTTGTTTTGAAATTCGATTTTTCTGCGAGGCTTTTGAAGCCCCCTTGTAATGTTCCTCAACCTCATTATAACATCATTTCAGGGTTTAACTCACACAACTGCATAAATAAAGAGTCTTCTAGCACTTTTTTGCAACTAATTTACTTGGATGAAATTCAAGATGGTCCATAGTTACGAACTGAGTGTTGCGTCCACAAATATGAGCAGTGTGTGTTTACCCCTGCTACAGACTTGTCGAAGCAAGCAGCAGGCAGTAGTAGCTACAGGATTTTCTGCAGTAGGGTCTGGGGTGGGAAGCTGGAATGTGAGGTGGGAGCACGTTTCAAGTGTAGAGAGTAAGTCACAAATCAATTACAGTAGCAGCCTTCTGCTTCCAAATGCTTTTGTTCACACCTTATTAACACTGAGATATATCAAGGTCTACAGTGAAAAAGATTATTTCATGATACTTGGGGTGGTTGAGGGTCGACAGACAGGAGTTGTGTAGGGGATACAAGTCCCCTCCCACACTGAAGTCCTAGTGCTGGGGGCTGGTGCGAGTGAAAGCAATTTAAGAAAACAAGAACTGGGGCCCGTCCTGTGGCACAGAGGGTAAAGCTGCCACCTGCAGCACCAGCATCCCATACGGCGTCGGTTTAAATCCCAGCTGCTCCACTTCCTATCCAGCTCTCTATGGCCTGGGAAAGCAGTGGAAAATAGCCCAAGTCCTTGGGCCCCTGTACCATTGTGGGAGACCCAGAAGGAGCTCCTGGCTCTGAACAGGCCCAGCTCTGGCTGTTATAGTCATTGAGGAGTGAACCAGCAGATAGAAAACCTCTCTGTCTCTCTGCCTCTGTAACTCTGACTTTCAAATAAATAAATAAATCTTAAAAAAACAAAAGAAAGAAAACAAGAACCAAACACAAAACTGCTTTTGACCATGTGGACTGGTTGATTCACTCAGGTCTCCTACAGCCTGACAAAGGCTGGATAAGAGGCACACGCAAGTTTGTCAGCACGAGAGAAAGAGAAGCACAGTGGTGGGCCCCGGAAAGAGAAGTAGCTTTGAGGAGGCATGTGGTCACCCACATCACGTTGCAAACACAGCAACTCCTACAGACACTCAGGAGACCTGGTGTGGCCACGGCTTTCTCCCACTCTGCCTAAGGGAGCAGGAAGTGTCTGCCTGTCTTCCAGTGTCCTTGTCTCAGTTTAGCCACTGACTCCTATGGTCATGCATCCCATAGGCATTTTTTTTTTGACAGGCAGAGTTAGACAATGAGAGAGAGAGACAGAGAGTAAAGCCTTCCGTTGGTTCACCTCCCAAATGGCTGCTACAGCCGGCATGCTGTGCCAATCCGAAGCCAGAAGCCAGGTGCTTTCTCCTGGTCTCTCATGCAGGTGCAGGGCCCAAGCACTTGGGCCATCCTCCACTGCCTTCCCGGGCCACAGCAGAGAGCTGGCCTGGAAGAGGGGCAACCGGGACAGAATCCGGCACCCCAACCGGGACCAGAACCTGGGGTGCTGGCACCGCAGGTGGAGGATTAGCCTAGTGAGCCGTGGCGCCGGCCCCCATAGGTGTCCTCATGACCCTTCACAGTGTCTCTGTCACACCCACAAGCTGCAGACAGCCTCGTAACTTTCCCTCTTATTTTCTCGAGAGAGCACGGCTCAAACAGTTCTGTGTCCCGCAGGGAGCAGCCCTCCGTGGTTTCTGCTCCCTTTAGGGCCATCTGATTTCCTTCCCTTTCATCGCCTCTCATCCTTCTGGTCCTGATTGCTCTTTGTTCACTCCTTAGTCTTTCTTCTACTCTTTCTCCTTTTCCTTTTCTTTCT